CTCGAGTCAATAACTTTTCCAGTTTTTTGTGGTAAAATTAGGTGCCTCGGCTTATATTCGGGTCAGCCTATACTCGAGTATATACGGTAGGTACAAATTCTTGACCTCAGTCATCCATTAATAAGAGTGGTTACTTCTTTCTACCAAAATGAATGTGAGAAAAAATACTTCGTAAAACTCAATCTTCCCACTGTCTTATAAAAGCATTTGTTTTTTCAATACAGCTATGCTTGCAGGAGCCACAGCAGTTTATTCTCAGTTCATCACACAACTAACAGACGAAAGCCAGTCATGTTGTCCCGTGTGTCAGAGGGTCTTTCAAACTGAGGCAGAACTGCAAGATGTCATAAATGATCTTCAAGCCAAACTGCGCCTTGCTCCAGACAAACTGAAGACAACAGAATCCGAACTTAAGAAAAGGGAGAAGAAACGAGATGATATGATTTCTCTGAAACCTATCAGGTGAGGCAGGAATCACAATATTCTATGCTGTGTAAAGTGAATGAAGTTTTCAGGAATGGCAGTGTTTTGATATGTGCAAGTCGAAGAGATTTCCTGTCTTATCAGGCATTCTGTACCATCATAAAATAATACAGTGGCTTAGATAATCAGTTGTCCTTCTCAACAGCCTCAGCGGCCATGCGGTTGTGAAGGATCCCCAAATATTTGAGAGGCAGAATTGGCTCAGGAAGAAACAGTAGACAGATTCCTCCGTCCCTGCCCCCACCTCTTTTTCTCCAGAGGGATATGCCATGAGGAGAATTCCATTTAGGGGAAAGAAAGATTTAGAACAGGGGTGGCAAACTCTCATCGTCACGTGACGTATCAGGAATCCCCCCCCCTTTCGCTAAACTCGCGGTAGGCGTGGTCAGAACATGACGCATCTGTCCCTCTGGATGTGAGTTTGACACCCCTGATGTAAGACATCACAATCAAAACAAATATAATTTTAGCATTCAGATTGGAATTCCAAGTATAATTGTAGTAAGTTGACTTTATGACTGTTAAAAGAAAATGTCATGCATTTCTATTTTCTGTTTCTTACCAAGACAAACGATATCTGAACTCCATGAAAAGGATATACCTGAGTTGAGAAACAAGCTACAGGTCCTTAATAGAGAGATTCAAAGCCTTAAAGCTGATATAGAAGAACAGGAAACCCTCTTGAGTACTATCATAACAGAGGAAGGAAGTGCAAAAGCATGTCTGCAGGATATTACACTTATGGAAAGGGATCAGGTAAAGATACTTCTTACCAGATTGCACACTTCCTTTATCACACTTTACGGGCAAAGTGGCAAAGATTGTTGGAAAAGAATGTCTCTTCATTTAGCTTTTTTCCCCAAATGGTCACATAATAGGAAGGAATCCTTCAATTAAGGCTGCAGGGAACATCTGTATAAATGTGTCATGCTTAGCTGTAATAGATATTATGGAACCCCAAATTTGTTAAAATCCAGTCTTAAACTTAAGTTGCTGAATTTACTGGTAATCCTTGAGTTATAGCAGTTCACTTAGCGACCATTTGAAGTTATGACATAAACCTCCCCCCCTCAATACTTACGACCCAGTTACAAAAGTTGCAGTACCATGGCAGTCTTTCACGCTTACGAATGATGGCAGAAGCACTGCAACATTTGCCTTGCCTATTTCTCTCCCTTTCCCCCCCCCCCCCATGACCTTCCTCAGCCTGAGATTCCTCATGTGCACTTAATGTGCAAGTGGTCGGTACAGCACAAATACGGAAGGGCTGGGG